ATGTGATTTGTGGATGGAAGAGCAGTTTCTTGCCACTGCCAGGCCATTTGCTGTGGGGACAAAGGAGTGATTTTTATTGCATGCACTCCTTGAATGCTGTGTCACTTGCCAGAGCTCCCCAGTTGAGTGGAAATGGGGCACAGTCCTTCTCAAAAGCCTCCTGAGAGGATGCTGCTGAAGCCTAATGGAATTTGAAGTTAAAGGAGCCGAGCCAGGGCTGAGACAACCTTGAGCAAAGGGGGATTGGCAGAGGTGGATGCAGATAAGGAATGGCTGCTCTTGGTGGGGTGTGTCTGAGCACACATGCCTGGTATTTGCAAATCCAGACTGATTTATCCTGCCTCCAGGACTTTGGCCAAATCACATCTTGGCAGGAATTTCTTGGTAAGATGTACAGACAGCTCTGGCCTTGGCAAGGCCAACAGTGAACCTTTCAGAGAGACCAGGACCAAGAAAGTCTCTGATCACTTAGACTTCCAGTGGGTGCAGGCACCAGGGCTCCAAGCATCCTCCTCTTGTCCTGCAGCAGCAAATTCGTGGGGCTCCCCCAGCACCTCTTGGGTAGCTCCCAGCCAGTGAGGAGGGCAGCTGGATGCTCCCAGGCCTTAGACTGCTGCACTTCAGCTGGTTCCCATTGCATTTCCAGGTCACTCTAGGACAGTGTCACCTCTGTCAATCACCCACATAGCCTTCACTGAATTACAGATTCACCTGGATGCTGTCAGATCCCCCATCCCCTTTTGTCTTCTCCAGGAGCTCAGCATCTGGCTCAGCATCTCAAGTTCTCTGTTCCTGAAATGTTTTGGGATCACACCATTACCAGCAGGGCCAAGACTTGATCTCTTGGCAACACTGGAGATTAGCTCCAAGGCCTTGAATTGGCAGCAGAAAGAGAGGCAGAGGCTGCTCGGAACTGTTTCCAGCTGGGCCAGGCACACAGTCGGCAGAGGATGTAATCCCTCCCCAGGGATGTCACTGTGATCACAGAAAAATTATGGATAGACAAACCTCACAAGCTCCAGGGGTGAGAGCCAGTTCTCAGGACATCACAGCCACATAAGCTGACCATGCCAGTGGCAAGGCACCATAGAGCCAAGTTTGGGCAGCCACACTGACCTGCCACTCCTAAACACTTCCTGTTGTTCCCAGGTGCCCAATGACAATCCCATAACCCCACTGATTCAGAGCCAGGATCAAAACCCATTGCCTCACTCCTTCCCAGGGACTCTCCTGCCTCATTCCATTATGCCTGCACAACTTAACCCACTGTCTGCTCTTCCGAGCTGATGCTGCTTTGCTTCATGTTTCTGAGAGCCTTGGCTCCCTCCCTCTCCTTCTTCTCTCTCGGGGGAAAGTAGTTCCCAAGGTGCTCAGAGCAGCGAGGCCAGAAAACCAGGGCACTTCTCCAGCTCACCTAATTGTTGGTTACTGTCCCTCTCCCTCAGTGCCTAATTAAGTGGAGCAGGAGGAAAGCCCAGGAGAAGCCACTGAAGGCACAGGAACACGTGTGCACATTACGGAGAGGCTGGTGAGTGTCCTCATGCACACTGCTTCAAAAACAACAGGAGGAGATGATGCCAGGGATCAAGCAGGAGCAGTGACTGGGCCTTGTGTCTAGACCTGGATGCACACCTGTGATGTGACAAATGCTTCACACATGTTTGTTGCTAAGTGATCTGCAAGACAGCTGTCAGGTTTAGAGCAGAGAAGAGAGCTCATCCCAGAGGGGCTGCACTAGGGATGAGCAGGACCAGGGCTGGTGGCCAGGCTCCCTCCTGGGCTCCAGCTCTTGCTTATCTCCCACCCAAAACTTCAAACCACCCCCTTTATATTAAATTTTTGTCACGAATTCTTGAACCCAGTCCCTGGAGTGCATGGGACATGAAAGACCATCTTGAAACTGATTTCCTGGCTGCCTCAGCCTTGTAATCCCTTAGAACAGTGGGTGGAGTTGGATACTGGTCCAGGGTCTGACTGAAAATCTTTGATCAGACCTGACTCTTTCTCCCATAGTTTAGGAAGAATTTCAGAAGAGCTATTTCAGCTTTGAATCCTTGCATCAAATTTATTGCAAGCCAGGGCTGCCTGAACAAGCACCTGGCTGCAGTGTGTTGAAGGGAGGAATCCCACTCCATCAGTGCAACATCTGCCAAGCTGCAGTCCCTGGGACGACATCACTGCAGGCAGAGGAGGAGCTGAGCTGCTTCTGGAGAGGAGCCTGTCCCAAACTTGATGCCAGCCCTGCTCCTTGATGTGACACTGCATTCCTGTGCTCCAGCAGCTCTGGTTCAGCTCCTGCTCTCAGCTGAGTACAAGCAGCCAGTCTGCTGGATTCACCTGTGGTGTCCCCATGGAGGCAGGGCAGTGTGTGTGTGTGGCACTGTGTGCAGAGGAGCCTTGCCCAACACATGCCCAAGCCCAGGAGGGCACTGCAGGCAGGACCCCGAGCACCAGCAGCATGTTGGTGCTGGCATGCTGGAGCCACGTCTGCCCCATGCTTGGCTGTAGCCTTTGGCTCTCCTCCTGCTGCCTGCCCGTGCATTTCTCCCAAAGTCAAGCAGTCCCTCAGTGTCACCAAGGATCATGATGCTCCTTTCTTGCTGAAGGAAGCAATAAGGGCTGGGGTGGGGTCAGGCCTTCCTGGCTCCATATCTCCCTCCTGCAGTCAGCCTGGCCCCGCAGGGCTGCTCCGATGGGCGGTGGAGCAAACTGGTCAGGACCCTGTTTAATAAAATAGGGGGCTAACAGGAAAACTGGAACCAACACTAGCAGGGCGTTTGCTTTGCCAGGATGCTCCAGCCAGCTCCAGGCAAAAAGTTGGAGCAGCCAAACTTTTCCTGCTCAATATTTGTGTTTGTTTTGTCCCCGTTGCCTGGGCTGTAGTGAGAGATTTGTCTCCAAGAGAGAAAAGGCAGCTGGATTTGGTGGCATATGTCTCCTTTGGGATCCAGCCCATTGTGGGCCATGCATGGCTAAGGGTGAACTTAACGTGCATGGCCTGAGCTGAGCGACTTCCAACAGCTTTGGGAAGGTTTAAGCAGGAAGGTGAGCCCTGGGGATAGACAGGGCATCCCAAAGCAACATGGCATCCTTCCCTGCCTGCATCCTTACCCAAGCAGAGCCCAGGACCCTTCAAACACCCAGTGCCCCCATGCCTTGTCCCACTTGTGGGACAGCCTGGAGACCTGTGTAGCCACAATGAATTCTCAGGTGCGCTTCTGAGCAGTTCTGGTTGTACATATGGCACTGTGACAGGGCTGTGTGGGTTTAAATACCCAGCAATCTCGTTAAAGTCTGGGTTTTAACAAGCTGTGAGCACAATGCTGTGTCATCATTAGCACTGCCTGTCGAGGAGCCCCAAGCACTGCTAACCCAGACTGTTCAGCTCTGGGGTAATTCCAAAGCCAGCCAGCCACAATCCCTCTATGGTTTTACCTACCTGCAAAGGAACAGCAGAAATCCAGAGTCAGGTCAGGTTCCATATAAGAAAAGACAAATCAAAGAAACCGAGCCTGGATGCAGCCTGTGTCTGATGGAGCCTTATTTTTTTTTTCTATATACCCACTGATCTTCAAGATGGACTTGCCACAGCTGGGTCTGCCCCTCTATGAAGAGCCTCAGGAGCCAGCTTGCCCTTGGTGTGGGTCCCTCACAGTGTGCAGATGAGCCCTTTGGAAACCAATACAGGGGCTGGGGGGCAAGAGCAGTGCTGAGGCCTCCTGGATCCTGGCTTTGAATTAGAGCTCTTTTTTTGGTAGGTGAGCAGTCTTGGCACAGGTGCCAGCCTGACTTCTGTGCCTCAGTTTCCCCCTTTCCCCCTGCCAGAGGATAACAGCTGCCCAGGCAGAGTCAGACAATTCCAGGAGAAGATGTGTGGAGAGGGGAAGAGGCCACAGCATCCAACTCCATATCCACGGGCATTGCCAGGGGAAATTCTTCCTGAGGGCATGAGACAGCAGCCACAGTGCCCAGCTTTGAGAGTGGAGTCACTGAGTTAATTTGGCTTTCCAATTAACAACCAGAAAGGTCATTACTGAGCTGCTCATGGCTCTCTGTCCTGACACATTGCTGCCCAGGGCCTGGAGCTCGGCAGTGGAGCAAAGAGGACGAGCTGGGGGCCCAGGTGAGGTATTCACCCCCTGCCCTGTGAACAAAGCCCAGAGCAAGAGAAATTCACAGCACAGGAGGGGACTGGGATTGGTGATCCCAGAGGCACTCACCCTCCTGCCTGTGCCAGGATCCCTCACTTCCCCACTGAGTCCTCCCCTTCCTACAGCCATCCCCACAGCATCCATGCTGTCTGAGCAGGGCCGTGGAGCTGCCCTGCACCTGCACAATTCCCAGGGGCACATGGACACTGCTTGCTGTCCTACCCCTGTAGCTTCGCTCCTGACAAAGGTGTACTCAGCCCTAAGGGGTGATGCTTCACATGCAAACCACAAAATTCATTACAAGGAAACTGGTCAGGAACACTTTGGATTCAAGAGTAGGACAGCAAAGTGCCAAGGCTGAAGCATGATGAGGCTGGAATTTTTTCCTATCAGTGTGGGATTTAGCAAGGTTTTTCTCTCTGTAGCTGGGTCAATCCCATGCCCAGAGCCTGTGAAGGCATGATAACCCTGGGCCAAACATGCAGCTACTGAAAAGGTGTGACACACTACTGTGAGCATCCCTGTCCTGACATCCTAAACACTAAAAGTGCTCCATCATAGCCACAAACCCCAGAATATCCCCCTTCTACCAGTGCCCTTTGGAGCAGCTTTGGTGGGGCTGGAAACACCTTCCCACGGGTGGGACAGGGTGAAGAGAATTGTTCCCTCACCCACCACCATGTGGGGTGCAGCCAGCAGCAGCTCCCCGCGCCGTGCCAGTGTTGGTGTCAGCAAAGGCAGGTTCTCCTCCAGTCTCGGGGGTTGGCAGCTCTCGGGGCCCGGTCTGTCTGCAGGACGGGATGGGATGGGGTGGGATGGGACGGGACGGGATGGGATGGGGATGGGGGCCAGCATCCCGGGCAAAAGAGGTGGATTATTCGGTACAAGCATACCCCCTGCCGACGAGCTGGAAAAACACAGCTCTCCGGACAACACACCCTCCCCCCGAAAAAACCAACCAAACCCAAACCAGCTACAGCCATGGGATGGACCCGGGCGTGGGGGGGCCGGGGCAGCCCGGAGGTGAAGCCCGGCGGCTGGAGAAGGGCCGGGCCCCGGCAAGGGGTTGGAGCCGGGAGTCGCCCACAACAGGAGTGAAACACCCGCCCAGCCCGTCTCACCAGGCCCGGCATTTACAAGTTTTTCCTCAAGAGGTTTGCGGTTTCCAGCCTTTCCCACCCGGCCCCTCCGCGCAGCACCCGGGACCCCTCTGAGCGCCTCCAGCCCCGCAGGCGGGGCCGTGCCCGGGGCATCCCCGGGGCTGTTTTTTTCCGATGCTTGCGGCTGGATTGCACTTTCCCCTCCGCTGTTTGCTTTTCTTTTCTTTTTGTCTTTTTCTTTTTTTTTTTTGAATTCTGCTCCCCCCGCTGCGCGGCTCCCCCCGCAGTGCTGCCCGCCCCGCCAATCCGGGCCCTGCGGGGCTGGGGGCTCCGGCAGCGCCTTTAAAAGCGGAGCCCTTTGTGCGCCGGAGCCCCGCACCGGCAGCTGCCGGGATATACCGTGCCGGGATATACCGTGCCGGGATATACCGTGCCGTGCCGCCGCCGCCGGGAGGAGCCCTGGACCTCGCTGCACCGGCAGCCCCGGAACCGAGCATCCCCCCCCTCGGCAGGTATTTCATCCTCCCCCCCTGCACCCCAATAAATGTGCCTGGCTTGCCCCGCTCGCCGATTTGCCGGGTCTGGCTTGGTCGGCTTTTATTATTTATTTACTTCTTTTTTTATTTCCGTTTTTTTTCCTATACCCGTCTTCCTTCTCTCCTCCCTCGCACCCGCTGGGTTGGGATGGTGGGGCTGAGGCTGCTGCGCTGGTGGCACTGGAGCAGGCTGAGGTGACAAGGCTGCTGGAGCCGGGATGCTGCCCGCTGGTGGATGTGTCGGGCTCGTCGGGGACAGCTCAGTGTCACTGCTGCTGAGGGTGGGGTGAGCACGGAGCGGCTCCGCGCAGTCTGGCATTGTACGGTCTCTCGAGGGGGTGGGATCAGCACTACGGGTTGCTGCTGCCCCGCACTGGGTGCTCTATGGGCACCTCCAGACTCTCTTCCCAGTGCCTATGGGCAGACTTTAACCAAACCCTTTGAAATTTGGCCCTAAACAGGCTTACAGCTCAGCTACCAGCTTTAGGGGGACGCCAAACTGGCCTGGGATGTCCCTGTAGCTGCCTTGTCACCAAGTAGTACCACCACGAGCAGTGGCCGCAGGCAGCGACTGCAGCCATGCCCTGTCCCCAGGCAGCCCTGCTGAGGTGGGACATGCCTGCATCCCTGGAGCCCCAGCTCAGCCCTGCCCCACCTCTGCACTTTGGTGAAAGCTCTGTTGTGGTCCCAAAGCTGTGGGAGCAGAAAGGTTGGAAGCAGAAAGGCTCCTCCTGGGCTGAGCAGTGGTGGCTGGAGCTGGCTAACAGCACCACAGGCACTGGATCTGGGCTGCAATTTCCTGTCCTTGTTCCTGACTCCCCGGCCCCCAGGCTGGGCTGGGGGAATACACTGGTGGCTCAGGCAGGAGCTGGGAGACTGGAGAGTGGATTCAGGGATGTGGTGGTGAGCTATCCCCCCCTGGGCTTGCTCTTTGCTCCTGGGTTCATCAGGCTTGACTGGGAAGCGCGAGGGGCCTGGACTTTTGCCCCGTGGGAAGTCACCCAGTGAACGTTGGTGAACTTGGATGCCATCACAGCACTGCTGTGCCAAAGCCACCAGCCCTGCATGAGCACAGGACAGAGAAGACATCGGTCACAGCCACCCACGGAGCCACCGTCCCTCACCCCTGTTGTTAGAGGGACGCTGCTGCCCGGATTGCTGCCTGGAGTGTGACCGAGCAGCCGCACAGCGCCAGGCACTCCGGCTGGCCGTGCAGTCCCCCGCAGTGCTTGGGACGGGGACCAGCCCTGAGCCCTGGCTGGGGACCAAGGGCGGGCCTCGGCAGCCCCCACGTGCAGGCAGGAGCCGTTGGTGCACTTATTTGCATGAGCAGGAGCAAGAGCTGGGGCTGACCGCAGGAACCCGCGGCTGCCGCAGGGGCCCGGCTGCTGCTGGGGGTCCCGTGGCCCCAGGAAGAGCTGAGGGGCTGTTATGCAAATTTAGAGGAGCCAGGAAACCAGTTAGGGGGCAGAGGAGTCTGAATTTCTCCTCTCTGCTCTGAGTCACCAGGGCTGACTTCCCTGGCTCCAAGATGCTGTGGTGGTGCCTGATGAGAGCCTTGGCTGGGATCCTCCCAACACGGCATTGCTCTGGCACCTGGCACTGGCTGCTCCTGTCCCCATATCTGGGCAGGGCTGGGCACTGAGTGTGTCCCTGCTCCCAGGCTTGTCCCCCAGGAATGGCACAGCCTTGTGGTCTCCACCCTGGTTCTGCAGCCTCTGTCAGCACAGCCACGACATACAGCTGTTCTGGGAAGGGCTGGGAGCAAAGTGCAATGGTGACTGGAGGGACTGGTGGTGGGACAGAGCAGGTGCACTTTTGGGAAAGGACCAATACTGGCTGTTCTAAGCTCAGTCTCTGTCCCCAGGGTCCTTCCATGTAAGGCTTCATAACAGCTTCAAGGGACAGTGGGACTGCTGCAGGGCCTGGATGGAGAGAACTCCCCTCTGCTCTGGAAAAGTGGCACTGGCTGCAAGCATGAAATGAGTAAGGATGTGGCACTGGTGTGGTCTCCTGAAAGTCATCCTGGTACCTTCCTTATGGCACATGCCTGGGGGTTAGCAGTGGTTTTGGGATCCCTGCCATCCCCCAGGAGGGCAGGGGCTGGTTTGCTCTGCTCTGTCCCCAGACAGTCCTCTTGCACACTGTCCTTTGTCACAGCCCCTTGGCAGCAGCAGAGGATGATATCCTAGCCTGCCCAGGAGTGCCAGAGAAGCAGCACAGCCCCACACATCCCCCAGGTACCATCACAGCCGCACTCTGCCCTGCTCTTTGCACCCTGGTGACCCAAGCAGTGGGCACAGGCAGTGGCTGTCCCCAGGGAATCAGGTGCTGTGGACCCTCTGATTGCACATACCAGTGGCCAGGCTGGAGCGGCAGCCTCCTGTCAGATGCAATAGGAGGAATGTGTGCGTGTGTGTGTGTGTGTGTGTGCATGTGTGTGTGTGTGTGAGCAAGAGAGGCCAGCACCCCTGGGCAAAGCACACCCGAGCTTCTGCCACTGCCTCACTCCACAGGAGGGACACGGGAAGTGACAGCTCTGAGTGACAGCCACCACCAAGCACAGCAGTGTGGCCGGCCCAGCAGCATGTCTCCTTCCTGCAGACCAAGCCACAGGTGAGTGGGATGTCACCTACCCAACACAGGAGCAGAGCCCAGCCCTCAGAGCAGTCTCTGGTATGGTGGGAGGGAACAAACCTGGCCAGAGCCTGGCATGGGGAAGAAAATTGGTCACAGCAGCTGAAGGTCCCCATCACCACACACTCTGCCCCAGTGCCACCTGGAAGTTCCCTGACAGGCAGATTCCCTCTGGCACAAGCAAAGCACCAGGGGGTAAATGCCCTTGTGCCAGGAAGATGAGAATCCCAGCAGGATGGGATGTGAACAGGATAAATGGCCTGTAATGATCCTGAAAGCACCTTTGGGTGACAGAGGCCAGGTGCCTGTGACACTGACTGGCAAAACATTGTTCCAGTGGCACATGGTAACTGTTTCTGCTCCTCCAGTATGGTGCTAAGGCTGATCCCCCCTGCCCCTCTCTGGGCCCTGGCTCCTGCTGCTGCCATTTATCCCTGTGCCCTCCTTCCCAGCTGCCTTCCCGTGCTGCAGGGAGGAAGAGCACAGCTGAAAATACACCTACTGTGTCCCCCTTCCTGCCTGTTTGCTTCCTCCCCTCCTGCCTTTGCCTTTCAGTGCAGCTTCCCAAGAAAATAAAGGTCACAGCCTCACACTTTGCCTATACACACACACACAAACACACAAACACACACACACACGTGTGTGTGGCTGGGATCCTTCTAATAAACTTTGACCACATTTCCATCCCTGTGGACAGAGGGGCAGCGACCTGCAAACATGCTGAGGTCAACGGGGCTGGCAAAAATGTGCAGCTGGGAGAGGGAGAGAGAGGCTTTCCCTTCCTTTAGCACAGTCAGGCTGCTCCACTGCTCAAGCCCTTAATGGACAGGGGAGAAGCCACACATGGCGCCCCCAGCACACCCCTCCTGCAGGAAGGGCTTTGATCAGGGTTCACACCTGAGCTGTGCTGCTGGGGGAGCTCTCTGGGGTCCCAGGGCATGACTGCCAGCCCCCTCACCTGGGGTGGGCCCTGACAGACTCATCCCACAGCCATGGGGCTCCCAGTGCTGTGCCTAAAGCCACAGGCTGGCCCCTGAACCCCTGTCAGCCACAGCCTGCACTCCACACACCCCAGAGAAGCCAAATTCCAGAGGCAGCAAGGTGACACCAAATGTGCTCATCTCACAGCTCCCCCACTCCATTCTCCCTCCAAAAAAGGCACAACTGCCCAAAACTTCCAGCAGAATCCACCTATCAGAATTTAGGCTGAGAACACAGGGGTTGGAATGATTTATCTGACAGTTTTCCTGAAAGCTCCCTTCCGGCCTTGGTGTTGTCGCTGTGTTTCTATGTTCTCTCAGCAGTGGGGTGCCTGGGGTGATGGGGGCTCCATCTGGAGCTGCCCACAGGCTGGGGACAATGAGTGGGTAACTCACAGTGCCTCGTGGGATGCTCTTCCTTCACTTTGTTCAGTCTAAAATGTAGTTTAATTATTAAAATACCCTTTGGGAAGAGCTTCAGGTTGAGCAGGCCAAGCACAAAACCCTCTCAGACTCTGTGGCAGTGGGGGACTCAAAGCACCTTCACTGCTTGGTGAAAATGTGACTCCTGGACACGGCTTGGTACAAGTGTCCCTTTCTGTCCCAAGGCTGCAGGCAGTGCTCCGGCGGGAGCACAGAGGCACTCGATGGGGATCAAGCTCACCTTCCTGACATGTAATTCCTCTGGGGCAGTGGCATCTACTTGTGGGCAAGCAAGGGCTGCAGGGCATGGGGGGATGCTCCCCTAAACTCGCTGCTCCACAGGGCAGGCATGGTGCCCGCAGCAGCCACCCAGCACGAGCCAGCCATCCCTCCGCCCTTCCTTCCCTGCTGTCTCTCGAGCTCCAAATGGGGTTTATTGTGTCCTGGTTTGCAGGCCCGGGCCGTGGCAGGGCTCTGGGGGCTGTGTCCCCCCAGCCCGGTGGGGCTGAACCTGGCCAGGGGACAGGCACAGCTCTGCCCGCTCGCAGCTTTGGCCGCCGGCCCTTAACGCTGGGGGTTTCTGCTCCTTATCGCCGGGACGTGGTTTATTCCCAGGAAGGAAGTCAGGCAAAAGCACGCTATTAAAATGCTCCAGTGGCCTTTGCAACGGGAAGCCCTCGGGCTTTGCCAAGCAGATGCCTCAAATTAGGGTAGGGGGATGCAAGGATCGGCCTTTGAGCGCCGGGAGGCTGCCCCAGTGCCCCACTTCGCCTCCCTCCCCACTGAGGCAGCCCGGGGGGGTCCCTGGGCGGAGCAGAGGGGAGCGGGGGGCCCCGGTTGTGTGGAGGAGGCAGGAAGGGCAGATTGAGTTATCTCTGTGCCGGGGGCTGAGGGCGGCGCTGCGCTGGCACCCGGCCCGCGGCAATTACTGCAGCGGCATCGCTCCGTGCGCGGCGATGATGCCACGCTGCAGGAATGGCAGGGGTGGCTCGCCTCTGTCCCCGGGGCTCCGCGAGCCGCCAGGCTGGGACCGGGCTCATTCAGCCGTGTCCTGTGTCCGGTTCACCCGGCCCTGGTGGGGGGTCCCGAACCTTCCTGGCGGTGCGCCCCGGGATGGTGCTGGTGCTGCTCGGGATGTTCGCCCTCCCGGCTGCGGACAGGGAACTTCTGCCTTGAAGAAAGTGTGGGGACATTGCTGTGACCTGGTGTCCTGGTCCCTTGCATGCTTTATGGTCGTGAGCAGGATCGAGCTCTCATTTCCACCACACACTGCACATTCCTGGTCTTGGCGGTCACAGAGGCCAAGAAAATGGACCTGAAGGTGAAAACAACTGCCTTGCCTACCCCTCTCCCAGGGGATTGTAGGCAGCTCTAGTGTGGGATGTGGTGTGGCACTTTCCAGCCTCTCCTCAACCAGAATTCACTTCTCTTTCCCCAACTATAATATTTATTTCTCTTCAAAAAATACCACTCCTGCCATTCTCCTGCCCTGTGATACCCAGGCAGCAGAACACAGTCCCTGCCACACTGTGACAGCTATTTCATCCCACTGCCCTCACTCTGTCCTGCCACCCAGTTGCCCTGGGCTCCCAGTTGCCCTGGTGGATACTGAGATTGCAGCTTTTGGTGAGCTTCCCTCCCTCACAGCCCAGGGTGCTGGCTCGGACGCCCAAAGCTGGGATGCTCACACATCTCTGTCACCAAGGCTCTTCTCCAGCCTTGCCTCTGGGTCAGGGTTTGCTGTTGCTCTGCTTCACAGAAGGACTCAAACCCCAGCACTCATCCAGCACTCAGGGCTGCCCCCTCAATCATATTTCTCTTCTTGCAGACACTCATTAGCTCTGCTGCCTGCTGACCATCCCTTGGGATCTCCACAGGGGGACAGCCACCCGCCACCCAGCCTGCTTCTGCTGCAGCCTGCAGGGCAGCTCCCACTGCCCTCAAGTGACCTTGTTTGGGGCCTGATGGCTATTAATCCATACTCAACAGTCCACTGGGTGAACAGGCCAGCTGCTGCTTGAGGGGTGGAGAGGCATGAGGATAGTCAAGAGGGAGCTGCTCCTGGACAGATCCAAACCAGGGCTAGAGATGCAGGGACAGCTGAAGCCTGTATTGCAGCATAGCAGAGCAGCTGGAGAGCGGGGAAGGTGACCCTGGTCCCCAGGGCCAGCACCCGGCCGTGTGCTGGGGATGGGCTCTTCCCTCGTGCTCCCAGGCGCTGCTGCAGGAGGCAGCACAGTCCAGACACATCCCAGCAGCACAGGGCACAGGCAGGCCAGCGGGTTCATTGCCATGCTGAGCTCCTGCGCAGGCAGGGGATCAGAACGGAACTGAATATTTAATGCCGACAAAGTGCCTTGATGCTGGTGGCTGGAAGGCGCCAGGGAGGGCCGGGAGCCGTGATCAGGGTACTGCTCACTGTGCACAGCTCACGCAGGGCAGGGCGGCACCAGCGCGTCCTCTGCCTTGGTGTTTTGTACCCTCAGCTGATGAAGGCAGATTTATGGGTCAATAGCCCTGACTGGCACCCAGCAAGAGCACCATGGGGTAGAGTAGTGGGGCACAACAGGGGCTGGGGGCTCATGCTGAGGATGGCACCAGGCACTGGTCCCAGCCCGTCTGCAGGTGAGCTGTGCTCTGCACTGCTGCTTGGATTGGTTTCTCCTTGGAAGGATATGGCGGGGAGGGGGGCAATGCAAGCCCTATGCAAGGGGAGATGTTTTGGTTGCACCCAGCTTAAAGAATGAGTGGTGCCCAAAGCCAGGGTGAGCTGGGAATGACTGGTGTGTAATGGGAAGTGGAAGAGACAGGGCTGTCATTGCCAGGACAAGATAAATCTAATAGGGGGGACAGAATAAAAAACAGGTGGAATACGAGGGAAGGAGTCAGGAATGCCATGGGCTTCAGAGGACAGGATGAGGCCCTTGCAGGGGATCTGTGGCAAGGAGGGCTGGGCAGGGCCAGGGAGCAGCATCCCAAAAGCCTCCTGCATCCCCAGCCACACATGCCTTCCAGTGCCACCATTCCCTCCATTTCCCCTCCCTGGGGCACTTGGGGCCATATCCATGGGCACAGGGGACAGGACAGAGCAGCAGGGACCCCAGGCTCTCCTCTCAGCCCTGATGTTGGCTTCAGTGTGACCATTGACGGGGGCACAGCTGGAACTGAACTACTGGGGAGAGGAAGAATGTCTGGGGACCCTGCTGCTGGTGCCCATGGCGGTCTGGTCCAGCCTGCCTGTGGGCTGGGGCTGTGCCCGGTGCCATGCACCACAGTCCCTTCTGCTTGTCCCGTGATTCACTCTTCTGCCCTCACAATGAGGGAAAAAATGGGGAACACAGCCTGGACGTACAACGTGGCTGCCAGATGTGTGTGCCCCCATATGCATACTGACACCCCCCTGAGCCACACACAGGCTCCCACGTACACCCCCCTGGTGCTGATGTGCACACTTGCACACACTCTTGCTGTCACACCCGCATAGCCTGGCACCCCCACAGCCATGCCAGCACACACAGTGCCACATGTGCAGAGACACACCTGCACTGTCACACCCGGGCACATGGCCACCTGTGCCGGCTGTCCTGCCACCCCGCACCCACAGCCCATCACATGTGCCATGTGCTCTCCCATGTGCACACCCTGCCACAGCGGTGCCCCACTCTGTGCACACGTGGGCACACCGGCACACAGGGGTGCGCACACAGCCCCTCCCCGAGCCTCCCTTGTACGGTGCTTTGGGACCACCGCCGGATGGCTGAGCCCCCGGGACGTGCTGCTTCTACCGGGCTGAGACCGCCACAAACTCATCACACGTGGATTCGGGACAGGTCTGAAATGACGCCGCTCGTCAGACACAGCCCGGCATGGCGGGGGTGCCGGCGGTGCGGTGGGACCGAGGAACACGCGTGCCCGGCCGCGGGGCACAGGCGGACGGGGGCTCTTTGTTCCTGCCTCCGCCGGTCCTCCATGATGTGGAGAGGGCGCGGGTGAGGCCGGCGCTGCGAAATGGCGGCCGGGGGGGCGGGATCGGGAAGGAGGAGGAGGAGGGGGAAGGGGAAGGCGGGGCGCCCTCCCCGCGCTCGGCGCCGCGCACACAAAAGGCTGCAGGGAAAACACGGAGGGCAGCGGGGGGTGCGGAGTGGCCTCGCCGGGGACTTCCTGCCCGCCCCGGCCCTCACAGCTCTGTGTGTCCCGCTGTCCGCACACGCTCCGCGGGTCCCCGTGCCCCGCAGCCCCGTGTCCCGCATCGTGCCCGCGGTCCCGTCCCGGTTCGGGGGGCAGCCGGGGTGCGCACCAGTGCCGGCGCGTCGGGACGGCTCCGTTGTGCTTAGCACAGCCCAGCTCACGGCACAACCGAGCTCAGCCGTGACAGGATGCCGCCGGTACCGGGACTCCCGGCTGTGCGTGTCCCGGGATTCCCCAGGCAGGGCCGTGCTGCGGCGGGCGGGAGCGCGCGGTGAGGCCGGGCACAGGGCGGTGTGTGCCGGGCTCTTTGTGTGAGTGAAGGGGTGACACGGCCCAGCACTGGCACCCACGGCCGGTGCCTCCGGGGCAGCGAGAGCCATTCCCAGCCGCGGGTCAGGAGCACGCGTGGCCCCGCTGGGCCTGCTCCCCTGGCCTGTGGGGATGGGGCCGTCCCTGGGGCAGAGGCAGGCGCTGAGGAGGGGACCCGCCGGTGCTCCCCAGCCGGTCTGGGCTCCTCGGCCGGTAGAGCCGGTTTGGAGGAGCTGCGGGCCCGGGGAGGCTCCCGATCCTCCCCCCCGACCTGATGGCAGCTCCCCGGGGCACACAGCACCCACGGGGAGCTAGGGGGCAGCCTGGGAGTGACCCATGCGCATGGCGCAGACCGGCAGGAGGTGTGGGGACAGAAGCCCATGGAGCTGGGAGAGGGATGGACCAGAAATTGCGGCTCCCCCCTCTTCAGTCTTGCCTCTTATCTCTGCCGCGGCTGCGTGTGGTGAGTTTGGTCGGGTCTCAGCCTCGCGAAGTGAGGGCAGGGACACGCTGCAGCCCCCACCCCACACCTGCAGGTGTGACTCGAGCATCTCATTCTGGGCAGGTTTATGGTTGCTGCAGCCTGGGGGCCACTGACACCCAAAAATGTGCGGACACAGTAGGGGAGGGGGGAACTGCCCACCCACCCAAATCATACACAGACCCTGCAGCTTCTCCGACCTGTGCCTGCTTCCCTGCCACCAGCCCACCCCCTGCAGCAAAGCCCCCTCCTCCAGTGCCACCAAGATGCTGATCCACCCCCTTCTCCAAGAAAGCGTTTGCACAGGCAGGTGTCACCGTGGCTGTCACTCTCCGCTGGCTATGGTGGGGAGGTCTGCCTGGCACAGAGGGAGGTGTCCCCTCATGAACCCCCCCATGTCCTTGCGCAGGGAGCAGGTTTGTGTCCCCAAAAGGTGACACGGAGGCAGGGCACCATCTGCTGGTGCCTGGGCACAGCACACGCCAGCCCACACGACTGCTGCCCACCCACATTCACTCCCAGTGAGGCCCCATGCGCTGTGCACACACGTGTGTGTACCCCAGTGCCCAGAACTCGTGTGTGTGTGTGTGCGCACACGTGCCCAGAGTGCACACACGTACACACAATCCCACATGTTAACGCACACCTCCGTGTTTGCACGTGCACTCGCCCACGTGGGCTGCAGATACAGGTGGGTACCCAGCTGAGCCGCGGGTGCCCAGGTGAGCCCACTGGTGCTGGCACAGCCCTGGGGCGAGTGTGAGGCTCGGTGGGCCACCTGTGCCAGGTGTGTGCAGTGTCTGAGCACACACACACAGGCAGGTGATGTGTGTGCGCACAGGTGAGCGGCGCTGCGCCCTCTGAGTTTCAGCCGGGCAGGCAGCACTGAGAAGGTGAGCACAGGGCATGCCTGCTGGATTCCCTGCTCCTCTGGGGCAGCAGGGCTGGACTGGCTTTTATTGCTCCCTCCTTGAACCTGGGGAATCATTTTCAGCTCTGCCCCAAATTCCCTGGCAGGACCTCGGGCCTGTGAACCCTTCCCGCCTGCCCGGGTCACAGGCTGAGGTGATCACAGGTGTGAGACATGGCATGGGGAGCGAGCACAGGGCACAGGTGTGGGACATGGCATGGGAGTGAGCACAGGGCACGGGGCACAGGTGTGGGACATGGCATAGAAGTGAGCACGGGGCACAGGTGTGGGACATGGCATGGGGAGCGAGCATAGGGCACGGGGCACAGGTGTGGGACATGGCATGGGAGTGAGCACAGGGCACTTCTGGGGCTCCGAGCCCGCCGAGGCAGCAGC